GAAATACTCTAGAAGAGGAAATACTTTTCTGAAGATCTCTCTTCCATTTTCTGCCTCTGTGAATTTCTTTGATGTGTCTGCTGTATCTGCATCAGGACCTGTAGCTAACACTACTCACATCATGCACACACAAACCCCAGTTTTGTAATGCTGTGTTCCTGCCACACTTGTGTTCTGTGCTGGCCCTAATGCATTCCTTCTAACTTTTCTGAGATTCATGAACCTCCTACTGCAAAACATGATTTCCTAGAACTCATCCCCCACATGTTCATGGTTAGAAAGTACACTGGTACATTTGTCTTGCCTTTTAAGTGTAAAAATTAAAAAGGAACCTTATTTATATGTCAGACAATGGGGTATTTCTAATGTTCCCAGTCTGGCACTGGATTCAGTGTGCTGGTGGGGGCACTCCCTTGCCTGGACAGCGTGGGACAATCATCCTCCTTCTACTGAGCATCTGCTTGTGTTGCACAAATACGGCTCTTAATCATAATGGCCCCAATCCTATTTATTTGGTCCAGTATCAATTTAACTTGGGATTAATTCCACCTGGTTTTTATTTTCATGTTTAGCTACATGAGTCTAAAGAAAGGGAAGATTTTTTTTCCCCACATTTATAGGTCAGTTTTACAACTGTTTTTCAAAACACAAATATCCACCACTGTGGATACAGAGATAGTTTAAAATATGCCATGCATCAGGATTTCCTTTGTAAAGATGAGTTGCTGTGATTTGCAAAAATGAGAACAATTTCTCAAACCTGATTATTAAAAAATACTTTTTCCCCATAAAAATGCAAAGAACTGTATTAGATTATTTCCCATTCATCACATGTCTCTATACTTCATAATGCACATTGTCATGCAGCTTCATTCCTAGCTTATTCACACTATCAAACCTGGAAATTCACATCCTCTGTATCACAGTCTCCTCCTCTCTGCAGGACCCCAGAGACAGATGTTTCTCTAAGTGTGTAGTCTGTGTTTTAGATGGCAGGAGTGACCTGAAGTGCATTTGTGGCTGCTGGTCCATAGGAGATTCTACAGTTCAGGTTGTTCCAGCACTTCCTAAGGGATCCAAACACATGCAAGGGGGATCCCTGTGACATTCAACATCAATTCAGCAGAAGAGTGATTCACTCTCAGAAAGAAACATCTGTATCAGCAGTAGAAGATTACAACAGTGTTATGGCATCAGCAGAAACCACAGCCTGGCTCCTCTAGACAGCCCTTTCAGAAGTGTATAAGCATAACAAAAAAGTACTTTTGAACATGGCGAGGTGCAGAGGGGCTGTATCACAGCAGGTGCTAACTACACTGAGCAATAACGATTTTATGTAGGCTGACTAATGACACCTTTTTTTCCTTGCAAACATGTTTAAAATGCTGATGTTGACAGGAATAGGTGAAAAGCTGCCCCAAGTAACACCATATGTATTTCTTTCTTTAGAAGGAATCAGAAATACAGCTATAGCAAGAGGTTCTTTGAAGCTCACAGTGGAAACTCTGTGCTCCACAAGGGTTTAAAAGTAGCCCGTGGGTAGCAGAAATGCCTCTTCCAGTGCTGCCCACCCAGACCCAGCACAGATCTCACCTCTTGGGCTTTGCTGTTTAACAGTGGGGCTTAGGCCCAGGAGAGACTGAGATGCTCCATACTGAAACTCAGTGGAGAAAAACAGATGGGATATGTGCTCCCCCATTCCTTAACCTCTTTCACTCTTCCCAGTAAGTTTGAAGGGAAACTGCACAGTGTTATCCATGGTCCCTCATCCTGCTTCCCTCAGTGTCCCTAATGCAGTGTGACATTCAGGTGTGTTGTCTCTGTGGCTAGGCTGGACATCTCCCTTGTGCTGTGACACCTGATCTGCTTTTATTTGCTCAGAATAACAGCAGCAGGGAGCTCTGGGTTAGAGCTGCCTTTGTAACTAATGGAAGTTTTCATCCAGTAATCACAACAAAGCAAGTCCAGTGGATGAAGTGTGCAAGAAGTAAATAGGTGTGCACACCCAGGCCACAGTAAGGAGCTGCACAGACAGCATATGGCTCTGTTTACATACACAATATTAACAGTATCAAATCCAATTAGGGAGGTGGAGATCGTTATCATCACATTAGACAGCAGTTTCCAGAGTGTGTGAATCAAGAGTTCAGCATTTCCTTCCCAGTCTGACTGATGCTGAATTGTTGGATTTATCTCTTCCCTTGATTTGTGCTACTGTGACTCTGGTGAAAGGTCAATGGAGAGCACAAACCCAGGACGTGAGCAATGGGTGTTCCAGCCCAGCCTGCAGCACAGTGAAAGCTCCAGAAAAGCTTTACTGCTTTCAGGCATTGTGGACAAAGAAATTCCCTTAGCAGTGTCTTCTGCTTTTGTTCAGTCACAAAAGAGTAGGATTCTGTTCTGAAAAGGAAAATATTAAGGGAATTTCTGTTGCAAATGTGTGCAGACAAGAAAAGCACTATTTTAGGCTCTTCAATCTACTGAGGGTTATTCAACACAGTACTTCATGCCACGAGAGAGGTTAGGCTGGCACATCTGTAATATCTGGATTTGAATTTCTCTTTGGGACATTCCTGCTGAACATGGTCAAGCACCTTCTCTTCTTACTTAAAATAGTGAGAGTTGTCACCTGTTCAAAGTGTCTCCTGGCACATCTTCCCTTTATGGCTGAGCGCTTGGGCAGCTCACAAAGAATTTGGGGTGTGTGGTGCACACAGTCATACTCTGATTCACCTGGGGTCAGCTGTGCAGACCTCACAGGAGCTCTCAGATCCATGGCCTTGCTGATCCCAGTGCCACAATTCCTGGCTGTGACCCTGCAGTGCTGTACACCCGAGGGAGAGGTCCTGGTACCAGCTGGACTGCTGACCCTCAGCCAGGGAAATGCCTTGGACTCTTACAAGTTGCTTTTCCTACAATATTTAATTACCCTAACCTTGGGATTACATTCCTGTCTTTTCCAGGGATGTGATTAAACTCTAATAAAATAACCATTTAACTTTATTTAAATAGTTTTAAAAAGCTATAATCCCCTCAAAGAAATTTTTTAGCTCAGTTAATGACTGCTAGCTGAAATGTTATGTTTATAATGAGTTTATCCAAAGGAACTTAGAGAAGGCACCTGATGCCCTAGGGCAGAGTGTTGTACTGCAGCTCAATTTGGTTTTACAGTTTAAACAAATTACGATTTTAAAATAAAATGCTTTCATTATTTAACAAGTAATTTTGATAAAAATTTGCTTGGATTAAATACATATTGAACTAGTGTTCTTCTTAATCACAAAGTACACAAAAACTTTAGCTCTATTGTACTGGTTTTGGTGAAAATTTCCCCCAGACTCATTGCATATGATGAAATTTTGGTAAGAAAATTTCACAACACTTGTAACTTTGTTAAACATCAGATGCTGACTACCTCCCTAAAACAAACTCAATTTAAAGAATGGTTTAGAATGAATTTTGTCCTGACATTTGGAATGGCTTGATGATGATGTTGTGCTAAGAAAACAGCAGCCACAAACAGAGCAGGAATAAGGAGAAAAAGAAAGTATGTAGGCAAAATAATGATTCTTCTTGGAATAGTATATTTAAGTTTCCAGTCAAGGCTTAATGTGCGTTGCAGTAGTCACAGAATTCCGGATATTTCAAATTTGTGAATCCAGTGATTATTCCCTTCCCTTTCAATAGATTGCTGATTTCTAGTCTTTTTGATAAATATAAAAATGAAATATGTTTTAGTATTTAGTACTTAAATAGTAAAACTCCTAAGCAAATTAAATATTTTCATCTGGATTTGGAATAAAAGAAAAACAAAAATCAGGCTTCCAGCTCGTATGACAAGCAACAGAACCCACATGGATTTTATCAGCTTATGACAACTAAAAACCTGGCCAAAGGAAGTTAGGGTTGGGGTTGATGCATAAATCAGTGGTAGCTGTCAGTTGGCTGGTTTCCATATCAACCATCACTCTGAAATTTGTGAATGCAGAAACTCAGCAGTGCCACTGCTCAGCTAACTGTGCCATTTGAAGAGTGCTGGTGCTGCTGTGGGAGCTGGGCACCTTGGGAGGGCCTGCAGCACCCTGAGAGTCCCCAGCTAATGCTGTTTCTCATCAAAAGTTAATTCTCTTTCACTCTGTCCCTTTACAGGCTGATTCTGGTTCTAGAATTTGTTCTGGATAAGAAAAAAATGAGCAAGTAAAGACAGAGAGTCCTTTGTCATGTTGTCATATGACAGATAATATGACAATGACTGTTGTGGTCATGCAAATGAGAACTTCTTGTTCCCAGTCAGTGGGGATCATCTAACAAGGAATCGTATTCAAATTCTAAAACTAAAAGAGTTTGTGAAATACTAAGTTCATTTTTTTTTTCATGTTTTTTCAAGTTTTGAAGTTCTGCAGGTCTCCCATGTAACAGGCTGAATTACAGATAATATTTTGAGCTCTAATTAGCATCCCCTCACTCCAAGAATTTTGATGAGATGTGCTATCATTTATATCCAAACATGCTGAAATAAGACTAAATACCAGTGTACCTGAGAGATGCTTAGGTGACCAGAATGTGCCAAAAAGTCAGCCAAGATGATATGGGTTAGCTTTCAGCCAACAGCAAAGCTGGGATAAGACAGAATCCCTCAAAGCATAACATTTTGGTTTTTGTTTGTCAGTGTTGGATTGTTGCCTGTGGCTTTACTACTTTCCTTTGCTTCTGGCAAGCAGAAGGAAAGAAGAAGAAAAACTGCTTCCAAGCAAATGAAATAAACCAGCAATATTTCTAGGAAAAACAAAAGTTGCTAATATTTTCCTTATCTCTGTCTGGAAGCTGCTCTTTGCTGTGCCCCAGCTTTACTGAACCTGTCCTTACTATTCCATGGCTGCTCTGCCCAGGACGTCCCACACCCCCTGTGCTGTGCCAGGACATCCTGCTGCTTTGTTTTCATTGCTAAGTGTCACTGTGACCCTCAGCTTTCCAGGACTCTCAGCGCAATGGAGATGCTCACAATGCTTTATTGTTAGCAGGGAGCGTGGCTGCAGGAGCTGGGCACCCCTGCATGGTTGGAACCCTGAGCAGCAGCAGCAGCAGCAGAGCACAGCAGCAGGAGCCATGTCTCTGCCCTTCCGAAAGGAGCTGGAGAAGTACAAGAATATCAACGAAGATGAAATACTCAGCAAGCTCTCAGAGGATGAACTGAAGCAGCTAGAACACGTTCTCGATGACCTTGATCCTGAGGTGAGTGATGATAATTGCAGCACTGCCTGTTAGAAATGCCACACACTGCAGTGTTTTTATTTGTGTTTTGTTGCAGTAGGGACAGTGAACCTTAAAGTATGAGCAGCTCAGCTACATTTTGGTTGTATTCCTGCTGGGATGTGCTACTTTTCTAAAAGTCACTGTGCTCTTGGTCTATCCCATGTCTATTTAGACATGAGCTTGTCTGCAATCTAAATATTTAATCATGTTGGCACACTGCAGCACAATGAGAAGCTTTCTATGGCTCCTATTTCTGAGCACAGCAGTAAACAAACATAACCTGTGTTTATGGAGATCAGGTCTTTTGAACTTATGAAATCTGTTGACCGTGTCGTTCAGCACATATGTTTTTACTTGAAGAGAACATATTTGGAATGATCAAGAAAAACAGGATTCAGCTACACAACTGTCATTTTCCAGAGAGTAGGAATAACTGAGATATAATAACTATATATATAATTATTATATCTCAAATATAATAACTATATATATAGTTTATATGTGTGTATATATGTATATAAAATATATATAATAGTTGAGAAATTCTTGCAAAGAATTTGAAGAGTCTGAGTACCACTTGATCCTACAATAATGAGGTTACAGTCACAAGTGTGCAGGGAATTGTGACTGTATCTACCCAAAAATATTCAAACTGATGTAGGAATTTGAAAACTGGCAGGTAAAATGGCAGATAAAATATTCTGTCTGGAGGCAAAATGAATTTGGAGAAACACAATAGATTTTTAGCTTCTAATTCTACAGCACCAGTTTGTCTTCAATTTAAGGAGCACTTCAGTGTTCTCTCCCACCCTGTTGCCATTCCCACACTGCTACCACTCCTACATTTTTTGGTATTATCAAGTATCTGGCGTCTCAAATGGAGACACAGAATTTAAGAGACATCTTCAGTGTTCTCTCCCACCGTGTTGCCACTTCCCACACTGCTACCACTTCTACATTTTTTGGTATTATCAAGTATCTGGCGTCTCAAATGGAGACACAGAAAACCATTAAAAAGCAACACCAACCAACCCAATAATTCAGGCCATGGTGCATTTGTATTTATGCTACATATGTGAAATGAATTTGGAGCACTCTGGGCACATTTGTGCATGCCTTGGGTTCACTGGATGTGCTCAGAGTGCACAGAATTCCTTCTGTATTTGCCATGGATCACATTTACTGTGCATGTTCTGGCCAGTGAGGAGATGTTTCTGAAGTACTCTGGGGCACCTTCAACACCTTGGCATTATTGCATGTGCACTGCAAGTTCCACCTACCTGCATTTCTTCCTGGGGTTTCCTGGACTAACGTGGGGGCCTTATGCATATTCCTGTGTTAGAGGATGCAGGTGAAATCACAGGATCCCACAGCTACGTGTTGAAAGTGGGAGTTATCTGCTTGCTTCCTCATACTCTGAATAGCTGAAGTGTACCTCGTTCACCAGTCTCTTTAGTGCATGCCATTCATTTCTGAAGTCTGAGAGACATCTGCTTTAGAACGAAAGGAATTTGTTTTTTCAGTGAGAGAAAAATGGTGAGGAAAAAGTAAAGGAAATCTACAGAAAACATATCCTGGTTTATCTACCTGGACTGCAAACTGTGGTTATAATGACCTTGCTTAGTTCTTTGGTGCTCTGCCTGTGAATAAGGTTAACAAACATTAGTGGGCAGTAGGTGGAGAACACTGAACGATGTGCTGGGTTTCGTGATTACGATAGTTCTTTGGTGCTCTGCCTGTGAATATGGTTAATACAAACATTAGTGGGCAGTAAGTGGAGAACACTGAACGATGTGCTGGGTTTCGTGATTACGTTTGGGTAATGTGTGTTACTGCTGTCACCCAAGAGCATTGTGCAAAGAATGATTTCACTTGAAACCCACTGAGATGAGGTGTGGAGCACTGTGTGCAGCTGCCTGCTGTCCTTCCCCTGCCCCTCTCTCTCACAGAATGCCCTGCTTCCAGCGGGATTTCGGCAGAAGGACCAGACCACGAAAGCTGCCACGGGCCCCTTCGACAGAGAGCGCCTGCTCTCCTACCTGGAGAAGCAAGCTCTGGAGCACAAGGACAGAGAAGACTTCGTACCCTTCACAGGGGAAAAGAAAGGTACTGCCATGCTGGTGTTGGCTCTGGGGAGCAGACGGACTGGCAGAGTGCCTGGTGCCTGCCTGCTCTGTGCAGCGTGCTGGGACTCCAGAGCTCAGGGCTCTGACAGCGCAGGGCGAGGCTCAGTCAGAGCTGGAGCTGCTGCAGCAGGAGGTGGAGGGGGGTTTAGCTGCTTAGTGCCTGTCCCACTGCTCTGGAGTCCCACGGCAGCTCTGTGGCCTGTCCCGTGGCAGCTCCATGGTCTGTGGTGGGTTATTGGCCTGTGGGGGTACAGGAGCCCCAGCCCAGCACAGGGCTCAGGCAGCAGCTCTTGCTCAGCCAGTGCCTCTGGGTGCACTCGAGCACAAAGGTGCCCTCAGCAGCCCCACAGGGACTGCTCCCTGTTCAGCATTAGGGGTATTGCAGTGGGGGAGGCGTTCAGGAGGAAACACATGAATGCCTTTCTGAGTGAATCTTGCCCACAAATGCTGCATGTAACAGCTCAGGGAATACAGTTACAAAAAATGAGTATTTTTCCACTCATTTACCATCACATCTGGCAATGCTATTCATGCAGACACTTTCCCTGCTACCCTTGTCGTACAGCTACAGGAATAAAAAGGGGAAAAACAGGAAAACCTAATTCTAATAATTTAAGCACTGGTAGGATAACCTCAGGGCAGGAACAGTCATAATTTAAACAAACAATATTCCTTTGGTGCCACTAGCTCCTTTTCCCTGTATATAAAAAGTGGACAAAAATGCTGGCCTCAGGCAACCCCTTCATTCAAGAAGGAACTTCCTATGTCTGGGTCCATTTCTGGCTGTGTAATGGATTTGCCATTATTTCAGTGGAATCTGCTTAGGGGAAAGCAGATACTTCAAGAGAGTCAAAGGCAGCATATTTTACATTATGTACCATTACCAAAGATGTAAAATGTTATTTATATAACATTTCATAGGTCAGGAGTTGTTACTATCACTACACAGTGTTCTCAGTCATTGAAACAATGATTTCAGACAAATGAGACATTTTTCAGCTAGATCAGATCAATGTGTCATTTTACCATGCAGCATATTCTTTAACCTACTTTTTTCCCCATCAAAATGCCCACATCGTGCTCTTCACAGGGCTGATGGTGAGCCCACTGCCATGCAGTGACAGGGCAGAGATCCTGCCAGTAGCAGGAGAGGTCAAGCACACTCTGTGCAGGAAGGAAAGCACTTTACTGTAGTATGGATTAATTACCAATTGTTTTCAGTCTCCTACACACTGCTGGGTCAGAGCAGGACAAGTCACTGCCTGCAGGCCCCTAGGTATTTATACCAACACCTTCAGTCATGTCTCACCTTACTGATATTTACAGAGTTAAGATTAAGATTTTGCAGTTTTCATGTAGTTATATCTGAGATCTCCAAATGAGTCTGAAACACCAGTGCACAAACCCCAGCAGTGTATGGAAGGGTGTATTCCCACAGGACTGGCCCTTGATCTGTGCACAGTGAGTCCCTGTATTGTCCCTGGCAGTGGTGCTGTATGGCCTGGGCTGTTTATTCCATTTCAGTTTTCTTTTGATGAAGCTGAAGCAATGTTATTCCTGCATTTGCTTCCAGATGCCCTTAAAGTGCTTATTAGTTCTGCTTATTAGTTCCTGGTGTCTCTGGTGTGGAAATACCACTGCTTTGCAAACACAACCAGCCACACATTTCACTTCCCCCTGAGCACAGAGTGAATGCAGCCCTCCTAGCATTTAAAGCTGTTCTTAATTTGGCTTTTGATTCACTGTGTTCATTTGCTTCAAAATTACAATTTCAAGAATTATTAAAATTATGAGGTAATGACAGTGTTTAAGGCTACAGGAATTATTCCCTTAATTTCCTCTTAGTACAATACAAATTCATGACAAAATCCTCAGTATCAGCTTTAGCAGATTAAGTCAAATGAAAACAACCATGTGTTCTGTGATTCCTGCAGTCATTTTACAATTATAATCTAAACACACAGAATTATACTACATTTTCTTTGAAGTCAGAGGCCAAAGGCTATGAAAATACCCTTTGTTTCTTTGTTGGTTAGAAATAACTGAATTAATCTGAGATCTGATGAGGTCCAGTACCTTGACAATTCAGAACTGATGGGCTGCACAGTGTCATTCTTGTGCTGCTTTAGGGGAACTGATTTTGAGAACAAAGTTGTTTATTTTGAGCTTGGCATATCCAGAATTGGTACTGGAGTGTGAGTCCTGCTGCCCCTCTGTGGCTTGGCTGGAGGTGTCCTACAGAAACACCACCAGACTTCCAGCAGGGCAGAAGCTGAGCCTTATAAAATATAACTGAAATCTCCATCTGCCACATGCTCTGGAATCCTCCCATGGGGTGTATGAGAAACCTGCTAATTGGTAAAATGTGATGAATGTTCTACAAAGTCCATGTGTGGCTATTTCTGGATCTTAGAATCTATGCTTGTAACTGCAGTGTCACTCATTTTGACACTCTCAATTGAAAAAAAAAATAACAACAGGATGGCTGTGTTAAAACATAAATTACTTGGTTTACACTTATAAGAAGATATTTCCCATGCAAGGAAACAAAGCAATCCTGAAAGACATTTTCAAATCTGATACTACGTGCTAGATGCTTTAATTGGAGAATAATTAGTATTCTTCCAAAGCTCAGTAATTAGTTCAGGAAAAATAATTTAAATTTCTAAAATGCATCCTTCAGAAGAATTCTAAAGAAGGATATCTCTTGAGGAAAATCTTATTTCTCATCTTTTGCATGTTGATGGTCTCTAAGATGAGTTTACAGATTGGTAAATATTTATATGATTATATTATATAGGTTTCTGTTAAATTATTTGTTTATACTCTAAATGCATTGTAATGTAGCCATGCTGTAAATAATTCCAAATTAATTTGATGCTACTTCTGCTAGTTAAAAATTAAATTCTCAAGCAACTCTAAAATCCAGTTGTGTATATTTGGGAGTAATTGATGCCAATTTTGTTATTTATGACCTAAGAATATTTGTGTGTGAGTAGGATTAGAGTATGTCAAGTGTTGTTTGAACTTTTGTCAGTGTTTTGTACTATGATATTTGTCTTCCACTGGCAAAGCATTTAGCTTTTCAAATTTAGGAAGTGGGATACTTCTACTGAATGTAAAGTGACATTTCTACCAGTTCTTACAGTTATCATACAAAGCTAAAACTTGGAAATTCACTGATGAGCTGAAAAGAAGGTGGCATTTAAAATATCCTCCTTCCAGACCTGTGTCTGTGGCACACGATGATTTTTATTTACTGTGACTGCCTCTCTTTTTTTTGTTGTTAATATTTTATTAGAGAGTTCTTGACCCAGAAGCAGTACCAAGCAGCTGCTGAAGGACAAAAACTCAGTTGCCTGTGTTGGTCTCTGTATGCTGAGCAACCATAAGGTTTTGATTGTCCTAGAAAACAAGCTAAACCAAATTCCAGAGCTGACAGGGATATGCAGAATGGCTAAAACACAGGAAGTGTTAAATATGAGCCCAAGACAGGGGGGAGCTGATTATGCAGGGAATTGCCTTGTTTTTGATTGTAATTGTGGTTTCAGGAGGTTGGAGATGTTTGGCAAAACCAATCAAACGTATGGAATGCATTAGGGTTTTGGACCTCTGCCATATTGCAGCTTGGTAATGTACTGCATTAATTGCTGTACAGAAAGGATTTAAGCCTGTATGGGACAGATCTCAGATTTCAGTGGAGACCCAAGGTTTGCTGGAACCAGGGCTGAAATGATCACAGGCTCACGCCCAAAGCTGGCCACTGAGAAATGTTTTCAGACTGTTTTACCCACATCCTCCCTAATGCACGTCAGGGCTGGGCACTGATTGTGTGGTTTGAAATGATCTGGTGGCTTTCAGGAGCTCTTGTGCCACACAGATGTCTGTTATTAATGGGCAGTGTAGGTGAAGAGTAAGGGCTGATAACTGGGGCCATGGTGATGGGCAGTTTGTGTTTATTTTGTGTATTTTGGATTTGTTCCTACTTAGGATAGATGTTCTAGAAATCCTTATATAGAACCTGATGGTCTGTGGAAGTTCCTTAGGGTTGTACTTAAGTACAGTTGACCCACTGTTCTTAACACATGTAGCTGGGTCTGGTGGTTATCAGACTTCCATCACTTCCATGTGAAGTATCATTTTCAAGTTCATGAATGACCCAGGAATAAAAAGAAATGGTGGGGAACATGAGGGGCAGTGCATACACAAAGTATTGCAGAGCTCTGTCAGTGCTGTTTTCTCTGCAGTCTGTGCTTCAGTCTGACCTCAGTTAGGAGCTGAGTCCTGCTGTGGCGCAGACATCAACTGGTAACAGCATTTCTGCTTTGTTGAGGGCTTCTCTGAACTGTGTGGTACTAATGAAACACAATTTTAAAAAGTTCTTCTGTTGTGAAATGTCATTAGCTATGAAAGGTTGCTTTAAGGATTGCTGTTTCAACCCTTCACCACTGTCCCTGTTTTCTACACAGTCTTCTGCTCCTTGCCAAACCATTTCATTTTGGATCCGATCCAGTTCTCATCAAAGTCATGGAAAAACTCCAGTGGATTGGGCTATTATTATTTGTGACTGGAAAGGGAAGAGAAACATGCTTGTATGTGATTAAATACTAACATTTTCAGCTGATAGATAAAAGGGAAAGGGAAGAAAGTACCAGAGAACTTTTGGCCAAAACAGTGTTTTCAGTTTCCCTGGCAGAGACCATCTGTGTTGGTCAGCATGTGGTGCTGTGCCAAGCAGAGTATCAATACACAGCACCAGTAATAAGGACAGTCATTTTCAGAAGGTCAGAGTATTAGAGTAGATGCTAATGAGTTCCAGTTCTAACAGACTGCTTTCAAAAGTCAGGGTTTAATATAGAGACTCAGTATCTTCCTTGGATTGACATGGCAGTCATTTCACCCCCAATGCCTAAATGGTTTGTTTAAATTTTTGCCACCTTTTTCCTATTCTTTAGGGCTTAAATTTAGAGCTGATGTTTG